ACCCCTTACATTTACCATCGAGTTCATGACGACATCGCATCAGACGGTTTTATTTGTTCTAGATAAAGCGTTTAACATATGGATGTACAAGTTATCGATACATGTAAATGAGCCATTAATTTTAACGACTATTGCTTGTTTCTCGTTAAAAATGGCCGTAAAATGCAGTTTGTACGTGATTTTAATAACCTTTCGAACTGAACCGATCAAGTAAGCCGTAAAAATACGGTTAACATGCTTATTTTATGAAAATTTCTTCTATATTTACATAAAATAAACGTTGACGTAACATCACCCCTTTTTCTTCCTTGATGGGGTAGCTAGAAACCTACATGAAGTTACAGAAACACCCACGGTTCAATCGGCAAAGTATATTACTACAGATAGACTTATTGAAATTTGCAAAATAAATCCTAACTACGTGTTTTTGTCTTCGTTGTGTTGTGTTTGTGTCGTCTTTTTCTGGATCCGAGAATCGAAATCCATCCTCATCTTCGAAAATTACACTTATAATACTAGACTAACTAAAGTCTCAAAGTATTTTCTTCCACCATCGTCTATCTTAACCTGATTAATTCATTGGTGTGACGAAGACTTGGCGATGGATTCACTTCCTGAAACATACGCCTCATAATATTCTATGTAAGGTCTATTTTAAGGAATACATTAATTGTATGTACCTACACCTCTGTTTATCCTTTCTAGAAAATGCAAGGGGTGATGTTATACATTACTTCATTGAATTAATTTTTCATGCTTGAAAGTGAATTGGTCGATAACTTAAGATTTTAACAAAGTAGACCTTTGTGAAACTCTCTACTTCTCTCTATACATCTATAAATTACAAGAATGCTAAACAGCCACATCTGATGCCCACGCGGCAACCAACACGAAAGTCCCAAGTTCGAGCCCGCGCCCGCACAATTAACAATACCGCCAAATGAAGTGTTCCACCGAATTCATCGCAACAAACATATATAATATTTTCTTTCTCTAAAACTATCTACTATCTCATCCCCCCTACCCCCCCATCCGTAATACGTCTGTGTGTGTGGAAAAATTCGTACTTGCTACCCTTATAGGGCCACCCCCTCCCCCCCGCCGCTTTCACGGTTCTAATTTTTGGGGAATTTGGGGCATATTCGTAAATATGAAATGGAAAAAATATTTCGCATGTACACGTAATTTGAACTTTATCGAGGAACTGTTAAGGTTGAATTTCCTGTGTTGGTGAGTTGGAAAAAAAATTACTTCATATGTCGTCCTTAAGACGGAGCGCGCCGCGCTTCGTATGTGTGTTGCGAACATGGGAACTGTGGAGACGCTCTTAATTATTGACACATAGCTTTTATACGTGAATAAATTTTTACTTCCTACAGTAATTTTACAGCTTCCGTAATTTACTTGTGTGACAATAGTCCACTCTCTGTTCCTGACGATAAATAAAAAGCTCATACACTTTACACGGAAGTGCAACATCGCTTCTCACTCTCTACCAGAAAAGTCAATTAGTCAATACGTGAGCTGAAAAGACTAAAGATCACGTGTGTTTCAGTGACATTAAAAGACAAAATGTGTTCCTGAACTAGTGTTACCATAGGAATGTATAGTCATGGATAATTGCAACGATGTCGCCAATATTTTTAAAAATTCACGCATTTTTGCTTAAAATTCGAAACATCCTAACATTCATCAAATATTTAAAACTTTCTCATCTATTTTTCACAGAAAAAGATTTCACAATAACTCGTAGGTCGTAGGTACGATTGTCTGTAAGTACATTTGCGCAATTCATTTACATTTCACCTTAATTTGATAAGACTTATCACTAACATATTATATTTAGTGGGAAGCAAGTTTTCCTTAAATCAGTGCAACCATTTGTCCATGTAAAGATTATACAGTAACCAACAACCCTGCATGAAACTACATTAATATGTATGGAGTTATTTTTAAATACTTATGATGCATTAAAAATGTTGTTCATCAAAATTACCTAAGTACTTATAACAGAGCTAGTGTCTACCATTGTGTAGTATTCTGTAGAGACTGCGTTTAAGCAAACGTAGTGTAGGGCGCCCTCTAGCTAGGTGGACTGACGACATCCGCAAGCTGAAAACCAAGCTCAATAGCACTCGCCATTGGAGAGCATATGTCCAGCGGTGGACGAACACAGGCTGATGATTATGATGCAGATCAGAGCTTATGAATGAAGGCAACAAGGTATCAATTAAATATTCAAATTTTGTTATTTCATTGTAACTCTGTCTTCCCTAGGCCTAGGCCGGATGATTTTCCCCCCTCAAATAAAACGGAACAAGAAACAATATTTAGACCATGATAAATTAATTAATTTCGATAATTACTTAATTACACACAAATGTTGCTGTTTCACTTATTTTATTTACTTTCATTATTTCTCATTTCTTTTAAATGATACATTTGCATATATGTAGCGTGATGTTATCATCATAGCTGATACAAAAGCTGCTTGCTAGATAGAAGCTAGATTGCGAATGGATATGTTAAAACCACTAGAAATAAGTGCCAAAAGAAGACTCTACTGACATGTAGTACCAATGACCATAATAATTATCAAAGTATAACCTTAATATTAATTTAAAAACTAAATAGAAAAAAATAACCAACAAAAGTTCGCAATCGTCTCCACAACATTCATATTCCATCACCGCGCAATATATATAGCTCAGCCCGTAGCTATACGAACAAATATATTATATTTTGCTATATGTTAGTTCCATCATTTATACTTTATTACTATATACATACACTATTTATATATAACAAAGTATTGTGTGTGTGTGCGTGCCTACGTACAATAGGGGGAAACTCAATTAAACATTTTCCCTTTAATAAGAATCCGCCAGATTTGCTATCGTTATTATATTTTTTCTTAGAGATGCAAGCTTTTTGGAATTGTCAGCGAACCAAGTACTTATGTATGTAGTGTCATAAAGTTCTTGTTTATTGTTCTATATATATTGTTATATGTACTTCCTGGTACTCTTTCGAGTGGTGCTTCAAGATATTTCCTTTATTGTGACTTGTTATAATGAATATTATGCTCTACCAAATGAAAAGTTTTTAACTAGTCGAGTACCGTCATTATAGACACAATTAAAGAACAATAGGTTGCGGTCACCGGTGTCCGCGCGGTGTTTGACAGTTCAATAGTACACCCCTATTATTTCTTGGAAGACAGACGTGAACAAAGATTTATCTGAATTCCTACAGAATGATTTTCCTCCATTGGAAATGTAATATTAATATCTAATTAAAACCGAGGTTCTGTGTTAAATACTATTGGGTTCTAACAGAAGCCATCAGACCACCACAGATAGGGCCCAGCAAGGCTGATGCCCAATACGGAGCCGCGGAAGACCAAAAGGTTGCCGGAGCTCCCATTCGAAGCGCAGGAAAAGGAACGGAGTGGTTTTTAGTCAGTAAGAGTCTGACACTCCCTCCCGCCTCACCCAGGCGGGAGCAGTCATTCGATGATTTAAGACTAATGGCTATTTTTATCAACCATCTCTTAACTAAAAGTATCACGTGTTACGTGACATAGCACCACTAACCCCTTGCTAGGTGTCACTTATAGGTTGGTGAAACCAAAATGCCGTTAAATGTAATCATCTTAGTTTAAGGGTTCCTTAAAATTTTGGAGAGGGTGGTGAACAATCCTAAGTCAAAGTCAAAATCATTTATTTTCAATTACACCTGGAAGGCAGTTTTGAACGTCAAACAAAAAAATTGTGTGTCAGTTTGTCGGTCAGTCCTCAGTGAAGCTATTAGGTTATTCCAAGATGTAGATTCCTATGGCGAAGAGACTGGAGAGATATCCGTCATAAGAAGCCAAATATCTACCTCTACGATCGATTAGAAACTAAGTATTGAAATAATCAAGTCTGTAAAGCAAAACACAACATATTTTAAAAGACGAAATATCCAAAAATTCTTCATATACATAGCACATCTAAAAACAAAAATGAAAATGTAATCATCGCAATAATCGAACTAACGACCTATCGACTGCAATTCCAATATGAAGCTCAACTTACGTCGATTTCTTACGACAGACACGTCACTCACTTCACAATACAATAGCCATGAATATCCCCAACGGAACTCGAACCCGGGCCCCCTAGCTTAGGGGTAACCAAGTAGGTATGTTTGTTGATTAAAGGAGCTTGATTACTGCCTACCCCACGTCCAGACGCAATGCTACAGGCTTCATATTTGGAGAAAAAAGCAGTTACTTATTACTACTACTTACTTGCTTTATGTAGTTTTAACTTATTTTGTGTTTATTTAGTCGACTGCACGGTTGGTGCGGTGGCTGGGCTGGCTGCCGCGCAACCTGTCGCGGGTTCTATTCCCGCACGGAACAATTCTTTGTGTGATTCACAGATTCTTGTTCCGGGTCTGGGTGTCATGTGTATGTGAACTTGTATGTTTGTCAACGCACCCACGACACAGGAGAAAATCCTAGCGTGACAAAATTTTTAAAAGAGAATAGTTTCTTGGTTGGTACCAGGGCTAGAGGCCTACAACTTACTCTTAAGTAATCGAAATTATACCTCCAAATTATTTATCTGTATCATTTTGGCACTCGAGTTAAAATTCGACAGTTGCTATTTTTCATCCCGGAATGTACTTATGCCATCTATCGTATTTCATAAATACTATTGACTCGACGAGTTTGCAGCTTTTTATTAGTGTTGATACGAGATGACGCTAGTTAGACACTGAATTGAAGTTCTACAGAAAACAGTTTGTTTGAGGTATCAAAGATAGATGTCGAGTTATGCATTTATTTGTTTGTAAAAAATTCTATTTAACGAAATATTATTCCTTATTGTTATTTTCTCTAATATGTAACCAAACATAAAGATAAGTAAGTTTTTACACTAAAACCAACTCAAAAACCTAACTTCCAATAAAAAGCATAGAACCTAGAACTTAAAAAGTTACCACCATTGTCAATTACAAATCCAAGTTGACATGGTCACATAAATGGATTATAAACAATCACAAAATCATGAAAACCGTCGTGAATGGCGGTAAATTATACCTTCCTTGTAATAATGAAGCCAAAACCGTTCGATGCCAACATATTAACAACGTAAATGAACGTTCAGTCTAACCATGTTGAAGTCGAGCCACGCCGCCCTTGGATGGAATGTCCTCAGCTCCCAGATGACAGCGATGATGACCCAGGTCTGGCTTTCATCTACAATTTGGACCAACTGATTGTAACCGAACAAAGGGATGGCTTGCACGATATCATAGGTAACGAAGGCATCGCTTATACCATCTTTAATAGCGCCGGGCAGAAAGTGTTCCTAGCAGTGTTGAATAAAAAATTTAGAAATTTCAACATAAAAATTTTCAACAACTACGGCAACGAAGTTATTAATGTCGAAAAACCTTTTACTTGGTGGACAAACAAGGTGCTAGTGTGGGCTCCTCCTGGAAATTTTGTGGGGTCTGTACAGGAACGGTCCAAATGCATATTAAACAAGTACACAGTTAGAAATCAAGAGGGGACGAAAATATTGAAAATACGATCCGAAGGTTTTGGTCGGTACGTGTACAAGGTGTACCTGGTGAGTACCAGGTATGCTATCGGAGTGGTGAGGGAACAGAGTCCCTCGGGTTATATCCGCAAGACAAAGAACTTCGGCGTCTCGTTTCCCGCTGAAATGAACGTGTACGACAAGGCGGTGCTACTGGGAGCATGTTTTCTCATCGGCTTGTACAAATACTAAATGGCGACTGGCTTCAATATAGATTATCTTTTTTCTGTTTCAATAAATCACACAGAAATAACATTTTAAAAATATTTGTAGTTATTTATTAGCCTTATTTCCCTATTTCTCTATTTTGTTTAGGTATTTAGTTCTGTTTTATGTTGGATGTAATCACATCAAGTGCCCCTACAACATACATGAAAGCAATACTGTAGAAATACCGGTTAAAGTGCATAAACTACCTAGGTACTTACTATCTTCTTGAGTTCAAAATTTTTGAACTTGAATGTGTTAGATATTTGCTTTCTGTTACGGTAAAATTATCAGATTTATTTATATGCATAAATAGTGGTGAACTTTAAGATAGAATTCGAATTCGATTTAGTAAATACATCGTTATTAGAATCTCTGTCGCCACTGCCACAGGTTCTTGGACCCAAAAGCCCAGAATAGGATACACGTAAATAAGAGTTTAATTATTAATGGGATTAATGGGATTAATGCATTTATATGTATTTGAGACACCTAACTGAATACTTTATTGTGTGTTGTGAAATTCTGGAAATAATTATTTGCCAAAATATGCTTTTTAACGCCTGATAAATTTAAGTGAGCAACCTGTACATTTAAAATTTTGAGCTATCAATAAAACAACAGGTATAAAGTTTTCAAACAGAAATGTTTTATTGAAAACTTATAGTTATGAAATACTGAGTCAGTCTTATCACAATACGGAAACTTAAGTAACACTTAGAAACTAATTATCTGAATAACTGAATTCTACTTTTTGCGTTTTTTCTGAGGCGATTTCGCATTGGCTTCTTCCTCGGCGTTTCCATTGACCTCCTGTTCTTCCTCATCATGATGCTTTCTCCTTACCGGTCCGGTTTGAGTGATAGGAATAGCTCTCTCGTTCTTATTCTCAGATATTTTCGGAGCTACAACTGTCAGCACCCCGTCAGAAGACAATCGGGACTCCACAGTCTCAGGGTTACAACCTTCTGGCAACGCGTACCGACGCTTGAAGTGACGGGACACGAAGCCATGCTCATCCTTTCTCTCTTCATGCTTGCCTTCAATCACCACATAGCCGTCTGATGTTTTGACAGAAATCTCCTCAGGATCAAAATGCTGAACGTCCAAATTCACCTGGAATTTATCCTTGTCAGATTTGATGGTAGATCCGACGTCTCTGGCAACTGCCGCTAAGTTTCTCCATGGACGAAGATACTTGCGCACGGAGAGTACAGGCCGGTCCACAATATCAGTTAAAAAGTCCTCCGGACTGAGATCCAAACCGAACAACTGATCCCGAAGACGTCGTGGACGCAGGTCATCTAATAAATATGGTAGAAGCGCCATTTATCTTTCTTGATAACTGTATTTCACTTGTAAACTTGAAGAAGTAGTTAAAAATTTGATTCAAGTAAAGTTACTTGAAGCTTCGACTCGCGCTAACTGTTTACTCTCTTGCGATTAGTTCAATACTGTCGCCGGTAGAGGCGCGCATCGCTTTTATATTTCATGCAGGCGGAACGCCGAAATTTCTGGTCCCTTACAGTAGGTTCGAGAATGTTGTAACAGGGACATCTAGTAACAAGTAGTATACACTCGTAAACTCGCTGTGTCTGTTGTTGTTGTAAAAAAGTCATCAACAGATGGCGTTCTTATTAAATAACATTTTCTTCATATTTATCTGAAATAATAACTTGTAAAAATAGTAAGTCATCTAATTTGCTTGATTAGAGGCTACATTATTATTAAAATTACCTTGAACAATGACCAAAACAACAACCAAAAACAACTTATACATTCATGACAATTCATAAAAATAGGTCATAGTTCTTATTTTCGCTACTTCACACTAGAGGGCAGCACAGCAGCCACTGCTGTCTGCGATTCATCGGCAGGACTTTCCGGTTCCATAGAACTTTGTGGAACGACATAGAACAATCTAGGGGTAACATACTTATCCATAGTTATTAGGTACTTTATCTATTTTAGGAAATGTAAGTAACTACAAACTGCGCAAAATTGTATTTAATTGAGTGGTAGAGTTGACTCACCCTGTATGCATAGTCATCATAATATAAGATGTAAGATGACAATGGAACAAAGAAATTTTATTTAACTTATCAACAACAAAAGTAATTGATCGAATAAGTATAACGTAATTAAATTATTTTCTTCCCTCACACCTTATTGATTTTACAACTAGAGTCATGTCATTGACCCCACCGGTCGTTCTTATCATTTACTATAATTTACACTTCCTACTTTCAATGTCAGAAACTACTAGATTTTCTAATGTAACATTGTTTTTATGAATAACAACTTATTCAAAGTTTTCCGGGCTACGATTTCATGTAAATTCCAACAAAAATGTATTTTTATATTCATAAATAAATTAACCTAAAATTTACCACGTGTGAGAGAGTTGTACTCACGAGACTTTACATAGTAACGAGGTACCTAGGTACTTATAGATAATGTGTTTTTTTTAGCACGCGGCGAAATCGAGAGTTGCAACATTGTTAATAGGAATAGAGAATCAGTGTAGGCAAGTACCTAACTAATGACGCTGAATTGTTATATATAACTGAAACCTTTGTTTAGGTACTTACGGACTTCAAAGTACTTACAATGAAACTTTGCAGAATTTGATCAGTACCTACCTAGGTACATTGTAGTTTGTAGAACTGAATCGTATGAACGGAAGGTCCCTATCACTATCCGATCGTTATTTTTTACAGAATTTTACTCAAATTAATGTTTTAAGTAGATAATTATACTGTACTTAGGTATGTACTAGCTATGAGCCTGCTTATTTCAAGTTGCTTATCACATACCAGTGTTAGTCATCTAATTCAGCTGACGACAATGAAATCACGCCCTTGCGGCGCTTGGTAGAAACGTTCTAGAAAATGCCGCCAAAATATTGATTTTATGGGGGACCGCGCAGCCCCTCCGTCTGTTGCGTTGGTGCAGACGTTGCATTTTATACCTAGATACCTGTTTACTTAGGCACAATTAATTTGTGGATGGTTGATAAATAATTTTAACTGCAGGTACTATCACTAGGTATAAATACCCTTTTTATACCTAAGTAAAACATTCAATGTAAAATTAAATTCATTAATTAAACCTGCATCAATAATGCTATGAAGTGTTCCAGCACTATTTTAATATGCCTTTCATTTTATTGTCTTTGTGACTGTAGGTAGGTACTGACTTAGCTTTCTAACATGAACTTAGCACTTGAATTAAAAATAATGAGTGATCAAAAAACATTCTGATGCAAAAATAACCGCCAAACTTGTAATAAGCGACACGTGTTGGCTGAATATTCGAGATTACGATTAATCCTTTACAAAAAAAATGTAAATGGATTACATGGAGTTATGCTTTAGTTACAAAGTTACATTACACCTGAGTTTTATCGGAGAATTATCTAGAAAACTTATAGAAATGCATTACTTCCGGTGCCGGTTCGAAGCCGGCAAATCGCTTTTTCGAGAACATTTCATTCATTACTTTCAAAAGTAAATAAAAAAGGATAACAATGTGTTATTCTTATAAGAATTGAGGTATTTTAATCTCCTAGACGGCATGCATTTGTAGTAAAATTAACAAAAATATTAAACACCTGCAAAATACCATGAAGTCATAATCAATACATTTTCTAGTACCAATGCTGCCAGCCCTCAACAATAAAACGTACGTTTAAAAGTATACTAAACTATTGTACCGATACAATATAATTATTCCAATCAATTAAATTATTATGACCAGCTTATTCAAGATTGAGGGCATCACAATGTGTGATAAAAAGAATTGAATTAAATTTCTGTTACCTCAACTGACAGATATTTGACTCACCTCGTACGGAAAATATAAGATATCTGTTAATTAAGACTGTCAAAACCTTTAGACGTTGTGACTCATAAAGTAATTTCAATTCGATTTATAAATCAAATGTGGTTTAATATTTGTGATGGGTGTAATGTTACACATTGTTGTCGGTGTATTATTAAAGTTAGATGTATCTGAAAAAATGTTGTTCTAATTTTTAAAATAGGTACTAAAATATACAAAATACACACGAACTTCTCATTCCACGCAAAAATTATAAGGACACACCGTGAACACAATCTTACAAACACACTTTAACTTTAAATATACAGATGTTCTGTGAAAACAGGTCAACTTGTTTATTTTGATGATCCTGAATTAGACGTTATGATATCCTGTTAAGTAACTTTGTTATTACTTAAGGAATTGTTAAAATTATGTATTAAACAAAGAATTTTGATTAAACATTCAAAAACATTTTTTGTACTTGTGTAATAATAATAAAATAAATAAAATGTGTTCTTATTTAAAATATTTTTAATTACCAAATGTTTGTTTTCTTCAAAAATAATAACAAGCAGAGAGAAAGTAGTTTTCAACAAAAATGATTATTGTAGAATTTTTAGATTTTTGTAGATTTTCTGCATGCATCACCCTTGGGTCAGACTGGTAAAAAATGCCTGCGGTTTTTAAATAAATAAATAAATTGTACTAAAATATTTTTCTGGTATCCCTAAGTACTTCATTGAACTTGACATATATCTTATCCCGGATGCCAGCAGCGCTTACGACGTGCAAAAGTTGAACTATTCACCGGATACAGCTCGAACATTCTAGTAAGAATCTGTAAAGTTATGAAAATGTTAATGTTCCTAATCAAACTTACGCGGAAATTGATGAAAAAGTTATAATTTATAGCTAAGCTACTTATTAAAGTACGTTTTAGTTCAACTTTCATACAAAAAAGTAGATTTTTAACAAAAGTTGTAGACCATTCTCGAATGTTCTAGAACTTTCCACAGAAAATCTATAACTCTACGAAGACGCCATCTTTCGCCCAATAGCGACAACACAAAATCGGTGTTCGAGATTGTAAACATTTTGTTAATATGTAAAGTAATAAATATATTTTATTATTAATTTAGTGATAGTTAATTTTAATATTATTTAAGTTTTTATTGGAAATTTAATAAATGATAAATATGTAAAGTCGTTTTTAGTTTTGGTAACAATAATAAATTCGAACTTATGTTGAAAAATAATAATCCGCATATTGAATATTTTTTATGTTTATGATAATAATTATTAACATGTATTTCATCACAATTTTATATATTTGATTTAACATCGAGCAAAATTAAATTGAAATACGATTTAATTCACGAACTTTGTTTCCGAAAAGAAAGTCGTGTCGTTAAAATATTAACTGAATTTGCTTCATATTATGCATTTTTTCAGTTTGTCAGAAAAACATTAAAAAGATAGACCTTTATTTATATTTGTTTATTAAAATGCGATAGTATCTGTTTTACTTCCATTGTTTAATTTTTCCGTTAAACCCGTGCCATTAACTACCAACTGTTTCGAGTCTCTGACAATGAGCGCGTCAAATCTCGAAATTTCTACTCACTCCTAGATGGCGCCTCCGCATCGAGTCTATATAAACGATCTGACATGCCGGGAAGCGTCATTTAATTCAAGAAAGCGAAGTGAGAGATACGCTGCGATTCCACGCGATCTTATAACACGTGTATTTAAAACCGCGCTAGTCAAAGAGATTCCAATAAGTATTCTGTGCTAACTCTGTACGTTAATTTGAAGAACTTTTAATTAAATTAAGTGAATCAGTCAAAATGCCCGAAGAAATGCAGACCGATGTCGCCGAGGTGGAGACCTTCGCCTTCCAGGCGGAGATCGCCCAGCTTATGTCCCTGATCATCAACACATTCTACTCCAACAAAGAGATCTTCCTTCGTGAGTTGATTTCCAACTCTTCAGATGCCTTGGACAAGATCCGTTATGAGTCACTCACCGACCCATCGAAGCTGGACAGCGGCAAGGAGCTGTACATCAAGATCATTCCCAACAAGAGCGAAGGTACACTCACTATTATTGATACCGGTATTGGTATGACCAAGGCTGACCTCGTCAACAACCTTGGTACCATCGCTAAGTCAGGAACTAAGGCATTCATGGAGGCCCTGCAGGCAGGCGCTGACATTAGCATGATCGGTCAGTTCGGTGTGGGTTTCTACTCATGCTACCTGGTCGCTGACCGCGTGACAGTTCACTCTAAGCACAATGACGACGAGCAGTACATGTGGGAGTCGTCGGCGGGAGGCTCGTTCACGGTCCGCCCCGACCATGGCGAGCCCCTCGGACGCGGTACCAAGATCGTACTCCACATCAAGGAAGACCTCACTGAGTACCTTGAAGAGCACAAGATCAAGGAAATCGTGAAGAAGCACTCACAGTTCATCGGTTACCCCATCAAACTCATGGTTGAGAAGGAACGCGAAAAGGAGCTCTCTGATGACGAGGCTGAGGAGGAGAAGAAAGAGGACGAGAAGGAGGATGACAAGCCCAAGATCGAGGATGTGGGAGAGGACGACGAAGAAGACAAGAAGGATAAGAAGAAGAAGAAGACCATCAAGGAGAAGTACACAGAGGATGAGGAACTCAACAAGACGAAACCCATCTGGACCCGCAACGCTGATGATATCACACAGGAAGAGTATGGTGACTTCTACAAATCCCTCACCAACGACTGGGAGGACCACCTCGCTGTCAAACACTTCTCAGTTGAAGGTCAGTTGGAGTTCAGAGCTTTGTTGTTCGTACCCCGCCGTGCTCCCTTCGACTTGTTCGAGAACAAGAAGCGCAAGAACAACATCAAGTTGTACGTTCGTAGAGTGTTCATCATGGACAACTGCGAGGACCTTATCCCTGAGTACCTGAACTTCATCAAGGGTGTAGTCGACAGTGAGGACCTGCCCCTCAACATCTCTCGTGAAATGCTCCAACAAAACAAGATCCTGAAAGTAATTAGGAAGAACTTGGTTAAGAAATGCTTGGAACTGTTTGAAGAGTTGGCTGAAGACAAAGAGAACTACAAGAAGTATTACGAACAATTCAGCAAGAACCTGAAGCTTGGTATCCACGAGGACTCCCAGAACAGGTCAAAACTGGCTGACTTGCTCCGCTACCACACATCTGCCTCTGGTGATGAGGCATGCTCTCTCAAAGAGTATGTTTCACGCATGAAGGAAAACCAGAAACACATCTACTACATCACTGGTGAGAACCGTGACCAGGTTGCCAACTCATCATTTGTAGAGCGAGTCAAGAAGCGTGGTTATGAAGTTGTATACATGACTGAACCCATTGATGAGTATGTAGTACAACAGATGAGGGAGTATGATGGTAAGACTCTAGTCTCAGTCACAAAGGAGGGTCTGGAACTCCCTGAAGATGAAGAGGAAAAGAAGAAGCGTGAGGAAGACAAGGTCAAGTTCGAGGGTCTCTGCAAGGTCATGAAGAACATCCTTGACAACAAAGTTGAGAAGGTTGTTGTCTCCAACCGTCTTGTTGAGTCACCATGCTGCATCGTCACTGCTCAGTATGGTTGGTCAGCCAACATGGAGCGTATCATGAAGGCTCAGGCTCTCCGTGACACATCCACCATGGGTTACATGGCAGCCAAGAAGCATCTTGAGATCAACCCTGACCATTCCATTGTTGAGACCCTGAGGCAGAAGGCCGAGGCTGACAAGAACGACAAGGCTGTGAAAGACCTCGTCATCTTGCTGTACGAGACTGCCCTGCTGTCGTCTGGATTCACCTTGGACGAGCCCCAGGTGCACGCCTCTCGCATCTACCGCATGATCAAGCTTGGTCTGGGCATCGATGAGGACGAGCCTATCCAGGTGGAGGAGTCCAGCGCCGGCGACGTGCCCCCACTAGAGGGCGACGCCGACGACGCGTCACGTATGGAGGAAGTGGATTAAAATCTCAGCTTTTAGCCATGTTGTAATGGTGTTTATGTGATTGTATCGCGAAGTTATTTTGTGCACTGGTGTACAGCCAAAGACTGATTTAGTTCAAATTCCATTATTCAAAATAAATGGTACCTTAACAAATTATTTCCTGGTTTTATTCTGTGTTCATTTAGATAGGTTCCCCGATACACATCTGAAAATAATTTAGGTACACATCTTTCATTACATTACTTTTACCTAGCATTTTGATAAAATACTTAAAAGTAGCTTCAGTAACTTAACAAAACATCAATTTGTTCACACATCAACCACACCTTTTCTATAATACCTAATAGTGAAATTAAATAATTAGGTAGAATCAGAATTTGATCCCTTTTTCTGTACAAGGGACAAGCTATATACGGAACGAACTATTTGTACACATATATACCTTCCTACTTTACTAATAGCGTAGGCAGAGCAGAGACTTATCTGTCAGAGTACATAAACTACTACCTATCTAAGTACTCTATTGATGAACGTATATACTCTTACCTAGGCAGGTTATTTTATTGCGGACTTTCTGACTAGATAGTACTACTACATTCTTACATAAGATGTAAACTACTATCTACCTACATTATCTACAAGTACCTACCTAGTTGTACCTAGTTAGGACTAACTTGTATCTTTGGAACAGGCAATACAATTTATTTATACAGGTTACCTACCTACACCTGTCTTGTTCCAACCCTCTCTGGGAGAAAAAAGTTCCTTCATTTCAGCCGGTCGCCGTAATGAAGACTGCAGACGGTTTGAAAATCACCGTGCCTAGTTGGATAATAAATTCGAGCACGCTGATGATGCCCGTTCCTAATGGACAGTTCAGAAGAAGTAGGTAATTGAGGTTACGTACTGTAAATAAGTACCAAGTACTTACATACCTAGTACCTAGATTGAATGCTCTGGTAGGCATTATTCAATTTCAATACTTGGTACCTCCGCGCGGTTATACCCGCTCTGCTCGGGTCCTATTGATCGTAGCGTGATGTTCTATAGCCTATAACCTTCCTTGATAAATTGACTATCCAATACAGAAAGATTTTTTCAAATCGGACCAGTAGTTCATAGGATGAGCGCGTATAAACAAACAAAGTTTCATCAGCTTTATATAATAGTAAGTAGGTATAGATTTCTAATCGTCTACTACGTGGAATATTATCTTTGAATTATTGGTGCTTGTGATAAAAATATATATGAGTATCTAAGTCGGTAGGTACTTAATAGTTAAGAACGGGTGTGGACATGCAGCAGGATTGTAGGGGATCCCCCAACCCAAGTGCAGTGGTAGGGTAGGATCGTTCAGAAACTACATCTAACAGTGCTAGCTTTGTAATGGTGTTTTATTACCAATCTATGTATTTCGAACTCTTGTTAAAATTGATTCACGTCATTATTATATTTACGTCAAATACATAATTTTAACTAATTGTAGGAGTACCTTTTAATCAGTAATTTTATGTAGTAGTCCCCAAAATAGTAAGTTAATACTCAGTTTATTTTAAAGGTATATAGGTGTTCACCTTTTGTCTACCATTTAATTCAAGCTAATTGATGACTAGTACAGTTTTCTTACAAGAACATTGACCTCAAGTGTTAGTACTGTTAATAGCCTCATAGCTAATTAGTGGCAATAAATAGACACGTATCGCCTACTTGGCTTTTCTCCCATTCGGTAAAAAACTAAAAATGAGTACAATAACATTTTACTTCATATAAATATAGGTAAGCAGGTATCTATGTATTCTTTGTTTTTTGTAAATATGATTTTGGAAAATCATTGCCAATGTTGTACTGAGGTTAGGATAATAGTAATTTATTTAATCTTAAATTGTCCTTGATCGAACCATAATAAAATCACATAAATAATTTGACAGAACTGACTTTACTTTTTTAAAATACCTTCTTTGAACCTACATATTATCATACAAATACTAAATATCTTTGAACACAACGGGGCATAACTCTGATTGAGGGGATTTCCTAATATTTTATATGTTTTTGAAGAATTCACTATTCTCTCTATAGAGGTAGCGGTCGCTAGTTTTTGATCGAATGGTATAATGCAAGAGATTTCGCCCTTGTTCGTCGATTGGTCATTCGGAGCAGAGTCATCCGCGACTTCAGAAGAGTAGGTCACCAGTCCCTCCGTGGAGCACCCGATCAAGAATTTAATGATATTCTTTATTCTGTATTGACTAAAAGCTACTTTTCGGGCGTCATCTATATCGTTCTTCTGTATAGAAATATCATTATTCTCCAACAAAATTGAAGTGGAAGGAGAACTGAGCATATTTCCTTTGAAAGGGTGAGGCATGTACAAATTTATCTGAATCGGTGTCGGCCAGAGATCCAGGGTACTCCAGATATCACTGACGAAACTGACCCACGTCACAATTACGTTGGTCACGTCAAACTTGCTGATTCCGAACATCTTTCCTATCTCAAAATCCGGCTTACTCCTACGTAGCTTGATGAGTAGTATCAAGAATTGGTCTTCAATGGAAAGTTTGTTCACCTTTTTGGATTGGAACTTTATGTCGTGGGCCATGGGATGTAAAGTGGAGAGCAGGAAGGTGAACTGAGCACTGTTGTCCAGCCCTGTATAGAAGCTGACAGACTCGCCGTCGGATAGCAACTGTTCTGTAGCGAATATTCTCAGGCTGTAAGATGTTTGTGTCCCTCGGCTAAATTTGTTCAGTTCGTAATTTTTGGATTCGCGTAGAGGTTTAAATGTCGATGGTTTGTGATAAGAGCAATCCTTTCTTCTCGGGGCATGTCGCTCGTGCCTATGCCAATTCTGTTTATCATGTTTATATATTGTCCCTATGTCACCATGGGCCTTGTAGTCGCGTCCCTTAATTTTAGCCATAAGATGATGACGTCTTATGAGTTTCTCGCGTAATGTTTGGTTGCTGGAAGTCTTCCCGGTCCAAGGAAATATTGACGGCACTGCTGACTTCTTTAGGAACCTGTGCTGGAGTCGTAATCCTGTAAACATCAAATGGAACCTAAAGTTTAATGTTCAAATTAAACAGTTATGATCCGTTGTGATTTCAAAGCTATTATTGTAATAGTCCTTAACAATGCTCTGACAAAATGTTGCTAAGAGTTTTTCTTTAGGAGCGGTATCAAACTAATATCAAGAATTATGATTTTATGGCATTCAGCGACTAACCAGTGTAATCGCTGATCTTAACATAGTCGGAATCCTGGAAATGATGGCGACATATCCTCGCCCCATTTTTAGGAACAAAATCAGTGCGATGAATTGCTTTAAGCCAACGTTTTCTTAGTGTAAGATTCTTTGGAAAACTATGGTTGGCAGTGTTAGAACACGAGGGAACACTACAACGAGTCATTTTTATTGGAATTTAACAAAAACAAAAAAGTATATACAACTGAAAATGACAAACAAAACAATAATTACAAAACACACATTACAATTTTAGAATTTGGCGAAATACAATATTTATAAAACCAAAGGTAATTTGACAATGGATATTTTGACAAGACTTGTGAAAATTTTTATTATTTTTCTCTAAAAATGGCATTCAACCAAGTATAAACCTTCATGTTAACTGCCATCTATTGTCGGGTGGCCAAACTAAAAGTTTGTAGCCATTTTTTAATAGATGACGCTTTTCAGCAAATCTTTTATACCAAATAAAACACGCCACTGTAAGGTACAGCAATAATACGTGTATAGGCAAAACAATCACCAGTTGAATAACAATACGAAGCCATTAAGCTCTGTGCAGAGTTCGGTAGGGAACGTGTAGGTTTTCTAGAATTTTCAGTCGGTATGCGCGAAGTCTGCGCGAGGCTGGCTCTAAATCAATACACAGAACACTTGCATGTAGAATATACATCACATACTATTTATAAGTATGTGTGTTAGCATACCCGTTCTAAATGGAATTCTGGTCTAGAATATTCTAATGGCGGGCGCGTTTTCAACGCAATATACACACATATAAAATTGAGCCTGCAGATTTATAATAGCAATGAAACATGAATAGAACGTTGGATGCTATTTTCGAATACCTCTTCAATATCAGTAATATACAGATCGTAGGTTCTAGGATAAATAATTATTATAAATTAACCTCTTCTCTGTCGATATATGGGACACATATCTGTGTTCCAACAGACAAGAAGTTAAGTTCGATAGCTGTTCTATTTTTAGCGTAGTCAGTTTGTATGTGACTTCAAGCGGTCTAAGCTAATCTAATAATTATAGAAACACTAGCTTCTGCCCGCGACTTCGTACGCGTAATCCCATTATTTCCCGTCCCCGTTCGTGATTTTCGGTAAAAAGTAAAAAAAAAGTATTGGTTAAAAAGTATCCTATGTCGGTCTCCTGGCTCTAACTCTAAGCTACCTCCCTACCAATTTTCAGCCAAAATCTATTCTGCCGTTCTTGAGTTATAAGTGGTGTTACTAACACGACTTTCTTTTATATATATAGATTTTACCTAAATTCTAAACAGGTAGGTATTTAATTGTAGCGTTTAGTTAGGTGTTATGCATAGAATCTATGGAATCTATGCCATAGATATAATTAAATAATTCTGTGGGTTTATGTAAGTTTCTTTGTGCTGATAACAACATACGTGTCTTTACCCACCCTACTAAAACCTAGGCTTGACGTCATGAGGCGTACGTCATGCTTGCACAGCGTCTAGGTCTAGCTATTATGTGAGATAGTTAGGTTAGATAGTTAGCTAGGTACCTTATATCTTTTGGCGGTATGTGGATTTCACGTTTTCTTTTTCTGGCCTTCCCCAATGAGAGATAGGTGTGTATCTTACATACATACATATTTGCACGCCTGTCTTCCCTGGGGTATAGGCAGAGACTATGGAACGCCAATTGCTACGATTCTTACCTCTTTCACTTCATCAACATTCGCGTCATCAGCCTTTTCATGCATGCTCGGTACACCTTTTCTAGAATAACGTGCATCGGTAGCATACCTATGTATTTAGTTGTTGACTTACGGTGCAATGCAGCCATGTTGTTTACAAGTTTTATTGTTCCTAAGTAGATGCCTCGAAATGCTACACTAGCACATTCTAGACTCTTCAGTTTGTACCTATGCATAAACATTTAAGTACGGTACCTATTTGAATAGGTATCGTATCCATGTGTTACCTAAGTAGATAATATCTGTCGATAAACTGATAATTTAGGATAAATGTTTCTGTAAAAATTAAAATTTAATTAAATACTTTTTCATAAGTATAGAAAGATGTAAATTGTACAAAGATACGCTACTGACTTTTATAAAAAAAATGTCATAAATTAGAATCGGTTTTAAGTCTTTCTACTCTTTATTTGTATTGTAGATAATAGGGAAGAGTTTTAATAGCCATAAAATTAAAATACATTACATGTAAACAAAAGAAAATCTATCTATCTTAACATTTTAGCATACAATATACACGTAGTTAGGGACGGTCGCGTCTGCCGCCATATTTGCGCGTCGTACGCATGACCTAGCAGTGACCTCTGCGACCTCGCTCGGAGGGTGAACTTTCTCGAATGACTGGTTGAAAGGGCTAGAATCCGCATTGAGCCGCGTTTTCCAGAATATTCTATAACATTCTAGACTTGAATAATGTTCCTTATGGAATTTTATTGGGAAAAAATTATTTGAATTACGAACGAAAGTAAATTAACTGAGGTATAATAATGTATCATCTTCGAATGGCTTCTCCCGCCTGGGTGAGGCGGGAGGGAGTGTCAGACTCTTACTGACTAAAAACCACCCCGTTCCTTCTCCTGCACGTGGAGCCGGAGCCCCGGTTACCCGTTAGGTTCTCCGCGACATGTTTGGTACACTGATACACCCAGGAGAAGGTGTTAGTATATTAATTAACCGACTTCACAAAAAGGGGATTGAAGTTGGTTTTATAAACGTAGCTAAAATAAATATTGTATATGTATACATTGTATTAATTTACTGTCTGAGACTGCCTCATTGGCCGAGTGGTCGCCAGTACGACTGCCAGGCAAGGGGTCTTGGGTTCGATTCTCTGGTCAGGCAAGTAATAGCTACTGAGTTTTTAAAAAAAATCTCAGTAGTAGCACGGAGTCTGGAAATGTGCTCGGTATATGTATGTATACATGTATGACAATAGGCTCACTGGCTCACCCCCTATTAAATGGAACTAATAACATAAAATAGTGAAAAGTGGGTGTTACATTGTACAGTGGCATTATGTGCCGTATGTGTACCTCTGCCTACCCCTTCGGGAATAAAAGGCGTGAAGTTGTATATGTGGTTAAAATAGTGGTTATGTATACAATCATCATCTCTTACCTACTGCTACTCACAGTCCGATTATTTCTTTCATTTAGATTTCCCTCCCAAATTCCAAATGTTACAAATACAAAGATAATCTTTAATTTTAGAAATCTATGAATCATAAGTCTGTGGGAGGCGAAACGGGCAATAGTAGATCAATAAAATCCACCGTGTTTTGCCTTGCACACGGCACCACAGAACAAAAAGGACGGCACTTGATTCTAGAAAGGTATTCCAACGAATTTTGCCAAAACATTACATAAATTACCGGTACATTTATCAAAGAAAGGGTGGAATTTTCTAGATAAAGTTTCCTGAATTCCACTAAATTGAATTCGCTCAGCTGTTTCTAACCACGGAATATAGAATACAATGGAAGTAGCAAGTAGGTGTGGCACGCGTGCCACAGCTAAGCTGTGTACTGCTTACTCGAGGCAAAATTTGAGTTCAGTCTCGTTCGAACATGGCGTCGAGTTGCTAGTCTCGTGTCAAATACATATTTCCTCAACTATGCCGTTTTGTTCCGTTTTGGCGTGTAAAAATGATAGCAGCCGAAAAATCGTAAAAATGGAGGTGTTCCGTATCATCGGTAAGTACAATTTTTATTGTTTTCTTGTAGAAATCTTATTTTATTTCAATTTACAAAAACAGTTATTAAAATAATATTATTTACTAAAACGGTTAGTCAAAATCAACCTTACGCCTTCAAGATAAAGTTTATTTTGGATTTATTCCATTCAATAGAACATTCTCGCCAGTTCTACGCTACTCAAATAGTTATGTAGTCAAATCACATATTGAATTTATCGATTGATATCGATGCAAGTGTAATGTAACATTTATTTAGATTATTTTTTTATTATTATTTTAGTGGTGACCCCGACGTGATTGGAAGCAACCTTCACTTCACGGAGCAGATCAGCACCGTCATCCTTATCGCCATCCCTCTCATTTATCACATTATCCATATAAAGTTTGTAAAAATTTATGTAATAGTTGTTACTTATATTGCCTATGTGAAATAAAAAAAATGATTTTTTGAAAAAAGAAACTAATAAAAAATACGAACAAAATGGTTTTTGATTTACATGTAAATAAATACTTACCCTTTTTTGTTACGTTTAAAAAGTTATCAACGACATATTAATTTTATTATTTTAATACTGTCACACTATAGCAGTCAATATTTTTTTTCATATTATTTTTAAAACACATTTTCATATTATCGATATTATTTTTATCGAATTATCCTACATCACTATCTGAGTAGAGACCCGCATTCGAGCCAGTGATAAGCCATTCAAATATCACCTTTATTCTTACAACGTTAAAGTTCAAACCAAGTACCACTTTTCGTCGCTAGATGGCATTGTTAAACGCCATCTAGCGACGAATGGCGGTACTTGGTAGTCCAAAACATACTTTTTTATTTTGATTTATAGTACATTGGTTTTAAAGTTGCATATCGTATGATATTTTTTTTGCATTTCGTTTACGCCCATTTTTTTTCTAACCAATCGTAATTTCCGATTTATAGTATGAGTAAATTATAAATGTATTAGTTTGGCGACACCGGTTCTGGCAGAAATATTGTTTCAAGCTATTTCCATTGTATTCTATATTCCGTGTTTCTAACAAAAACACAATATTATTGTTGCTATCTCTTTCTTACTAACGCTTCACATCATGTTATTTCTGTCTCTCACGAATGGAACGTCACGTTTTCGAGAATTTTCCCCGGTGTTGCTAGTAGTTAATGTACAATTTTACTCATAGTTTTGCTTTATGCCAGTACATTTTTTATGAGTTATTAATAATTATTCTAAATATATCTTATTTCATTACTGGATTTGATATTGTGAATTCGTATTGATATTTATATGAGATTTCAAAGACACCATAATAATGTTTTAATAGTTAGAACAATCAATTTATATTCAATGAAAGATGAATAGGTTGATTTCCGTTGTAATTACGCTTTTGTATTCATAAATAAATCAACGTTTTAATTCTCTCTCTAAAAATAACTATTAAGTAATTGTAAAGTATATGTTTGCACACATGCTTTACAAATGTAATGCACCCATTTTGGAACTGGTGCGCGCATAGATATAATAATTTCTGTGGGTGCGTACAATTCTGTCCAGTGTAGGTGGCTCTGCTGGCATCCACTGGACTTTTGACGACAGTGATTGTTGTCACTACAATTTTTACATAAATAATAAGTTTACATTGTCAGTAAACTAAAACCCACCTTGTAAT